GCCAAAACGCTATGCCATCTACATGAAGCTAAACAGGTCGCTCTCTCCCAGACCGAAAAAAAAAAAAAAAAAGATGGGTTTTGGTTATTTTTTCCCCCGCTTTCTCATCTTTTCCTTAAATTTCTCTGTCAAAGTATATGTCAGTCTGGAAATAAGATAGCTTGACTTTTCCAAAATACAAAACTGAAAAGCATGACACAAAATAACATTAGTCCTAGCCATTAGTTAGTTGCCAGCTTCCAATAGCAAATGAAATTTGGTTAGGCAAAATGTGCATTTATTTATTGCAGAAAAGGGATTCGCTTCTTCCAGCTGGCACCTGACACTTCTAAGAAAACAAGATTTCACGCACAAGTCTGTACTCTCACCTTCCTCTACTTGAAGAACTGTAACGGTGCAACTGTGTCCACTAATTAAGCCAACAAGAATCTTTATCAAGGACTGCATAGCTTCTATGGTGAAAAGCCTGTAGATCACACTGGCATCAGTTAAAATGAATGGCATACACAAGCAGAAAATGAATGCATAGCACTCCACTTCAATATGAAATTAATAAAGTTGTGGCCTGTCACTTAAAATTTGTTGCATCTGCCTGCATTTTCCCGTATTTTCCTTTCAAGTTATCTCTCAAGTAAGGTAAGCTTCACCATCAAGAAGCCCTTATGGAGTCCAGCTCCATTTCTCAACAGAAATATATTGTAACACTCCCCTCCACACACACACACACACACACACAAAACGTTTGCATATTTTGACAAAGGCAGAATTTTCACTTACAGAAAAACAGACAAACACAAGGAATTTCATTCAGATTAATCAGATTTATCAAGACTAATGCTTTCCCGTAATTTACAAAACTAGATGCAACAATCTTATAGAAGTCAGAAGACATGCAGAATGCCCAAAATATCACCTTCTGTTAACAATTAGACACATGTTAATTGTGTTACATATTATAAAAAATGATACCAATGTCTTGACGCAAACTAATCACTTCCATTCTGAACCAGAAAAATACCCCAACATGTATGTATGTGTCTGCATGCACATATATAACAATTGGAAACTCTCAGTCTCTACCTTCTTCTCATCACTTTTTTTCTTGTTCTTGTTCTCTTTCTGCTGACATAAAAATACTTCATTTCTTAAATAAAACTTAAAGACAAAATACTTCACTAAACCTTGCCATCCTCCATTGGGTAGAATTGACAGGCTAAAATCATACCTAATGAGCAAGCAGAAAATAAAGGACAAATATCTGAAGGGACTCAAATATGACAGATAAACAAACATCAGAGGCAACAAAATACATCTGTGAAAGTAAAGTTTCCGTTACATATACATCTTTCTAGCAGATTCACACACACGACTATTTTCCAGTAACTTTGAGATGGTTGGCAGACATGAAGCTTTTGATTTTGACAAGCTTTTCCAGCTTGTAACCGGAACTCGGAATTTAAGAAACTGCTTGCCACCTTTTCCAAAATGGGAAAAGAAAGCTAACTAGTTTTCTTGGATTATTCCAAATCTGAAATGTTAAATTTATAGGAATTCTTTAATTCCATGTCTATATTTAGTTAAATAAATATACATTTTGGGTTTTGTTGAAAAAAGAGGTTCTCAACGCTATTTTCTGAAAGCTAAATCCCGAAAGATGCAACATAATTTTTTGTCTTTCACTCATGAACTCTAACTGAAATAAACACCACCTTCACTATTTTTTCATACTCAGGCGATGTTCCTAAATTCCTCCTTTGTACCTTAGCCTTCTTTAAAAAAAGTATACTGCTTTCTGGCATTAGAACTACAGCATGAGTTCCCTGCTTAGCTAAGTCACTCTCCTGACATATCCGCTTGTTTTCGCAAGTATTAGAACTATTATCACTTCTTGCGCTTGAAGGATGCTATCCTTGGAGACCTGCCAACTTCGGTGAACTCCTTTGCTGACTCCCACGGGAGGAGCTACTACTAGTAGCCTGGTCCACGTGCTAGTTTCCCGACTAAGCCAAAGTTCGTTTCCTAAGGTCCAGAGTCTGTACTCCACTGCAGCCTTTCTCACTTCCCTCAGGACCATGAACTCCACTATTTGAAAGTCATTACCAACAAGGATGTTATCGATCATCACATCCCCAGCGAGTTCCTATATATCTGTCAACAGTAGATCCAGCTGTGCATCACCACTGGTTGGACCATCAAACACAAGAAATTACTCCTGACACTGTGCAGAAATCCCTTTCACATCTAGCCATGTTGACCTTCCAGCAGCTGTCAGGGAGGCTGCAGCCCCCCCTGAGTACCAGCCTCTGCAATTCAGAGACTTCCTTGACTTTTTAAAAGACTTTATTTGCTTCCTTATCTGGTAGTCTGTAACAAACTCCCATCACAATGTTACTCTTACTGGCCTCTCCTCTGACGCCGAGCCATAAGCTCTTCATCAGACTGTCACCCATCTGTCAGAGGAGCTCCACAGACCTGAGGGAAACCTCTCCTCACCTGCTTTTCCCTGCTTGTCTTTCCTCCAGAGCTTGCATTTGTCCTTTGCAGCCCTCCAGCTGTTCAAGTCGGGCTACCATATCTTAGTTATTCCAACAACATTGTAGTTTTATGACCGGACAGAGTTTTAGTTCTTCCTGCTTGTTTCCCAAGATGCACGCATTTGTGTACCAACTTTTCAGAGGCAAAGGTGTCCCTTTGCCTTGTTTTTATCATTCCTGAAGTCTCTCTTGTTCCCACCACCCTGAGGTCTCCACCCTGACTGCTACTTGTTCACTTTATTGTCATCTCCCACGCCCACCATCCCTAGTTTAAAGCTCTCGTCATCAGACTGGTCAGCTTGTTGGACTGAGGAAACAGCATGTGGGCCCCCACGACCTCAACCCTCACTCCAGAGCCATGCCGTCACTCTTGACATGCCCCTGGTCTCCCCAGCAGTATCACTGAAGCCCACATGGATGAGCAGCAGGGGACAGCAGCCCAAGTCAGCAATCCCTCTGCAACACCCTGGATCCAAGCCCCCAGCAAGTAACAAGCCCCTCTAGAAAGCAAACAGGGAACATGGAGATTTCTGTCTCCACAGAAGGGAGACAGCTGCTGGCTGCCCCTCCTGCTGTGCTTCCAGGCTCTCGTTTCCCTACCATCTCTGTGAAGGTCCTGCCAATCTTTCTTTGCCTTCCCGGGGGCCATGCAATTCTGCTCACCTTCTCCTGCAGCTCTGCAATGGGGCAACACAGTGCCTCTAGCGGGGCACACCGCCCACCAGCACGGACACTGCCTACCAGCCCAGACTTGGGGGTCCCCCGTGCCTGGCTGTACCACTGGGCACTGCTGCTGCCCTGTCACCCCTGAAGCAGCAAACGCTGCAACTGCCTGACAAGGCCCTCTTGCCACTGCCACCCCCCACCAGGGTCCTGGCCCCCTGCTGAGGTCCTGGCCCACCTTGGGCCCAGAGCACTGGAGAAAGCGCTCACAGCTGGAGAAAGAAAAAAGTTGTGATCATCTGTAAAAAATGCCAAAAAGATGATTCAGAGAACCACAGCAGAGTCAGCCTCACTTTGGTTCATGGGAAAATCATAGCGCAAGCCCTGCCACAATACACTTTTCGACACATGAAGGAGAAGGTAATTAGAAAGGAGTCAGCATGTATTTATCAACAGTAAATCATGCCTGATCAACCTGATTGCCTTTGTATTAAAATACCAGGATCTGAAATGAAAGGAGAGCAGTGAGCATAATTTTTCTTGATTTTCAACACTAGCTCCCACAATACTCTTGTACCCAAGTTAGGACATTATAGTTTAAATGTGTGGAAAACTAAAGGAGTAAAAAAGAATAGATAATTGGGATCAGAGGGTTATGATTGGTGAGTAATACTCTTATGTGGAATCCGGTAGATTGTACTGGAGATCAATATCTAGTGGAGTACCACAGGTGTCTGTCCTGGGAGTAGTCCTGTTTAACATCTTTATCACTGACCTGGAGAAGGGAACTAAGTGCGCTTTCAGGTTTTAAGAGGACATCAAACTGGGGGGAACAGTCGATGCACTTGAGGGCAGGGCTACCATCCAATGGCATAGCTAGGCAGGCTCGAGGAAGGGACTGACAGGAATCTTGTGAATTTCGGCAATGACAAAGTCCGGTACAGCAGAAGGAAGACTGCCATGTTACAACAGAGGCTGAGAACCGACAGGCTGGGAAGCAGCTCTGCTGGAAAGGCCCTGGGGTCCTGGGTGGGCAGTAAACTGAATGTGGGCCCACATGCAACAAAGGCAGCCAACAGCATCTCAGGCTGTATTCACAGAAACAAAGCCAGTAGACTAACAGAAGGGATTATTCCCCTTTCCTCAGCACTTGTTAGACCACATCCAGAATATGGCACTCAGTTCTGGGCCTCCAGCAAAAGACAGACAGGGACAAACTGGAGCAAGTTCAGCAGAAGGTCACCAAATGGTTAGGGGTTGGAGCACTTGCCCTGTGGGGAAAGGCTGAGGGACTGGGGCTTGTTCAGCCTGAGACAGCTTCAGGGGCACCTAACAGCAGCCCCCCAGCAGGAAGTAACAAGGATGTTACTGAGGAGACAAAGCCAGACCCTTCACAATGGTGCAAGCTGGTAGGATGGCAGACAACAGACGTGGGTTGGAACACAAGAGGTTTTGACTGGATATATGAAAAAACCTTTTCACCATTAGAAGAGTCAACAGTGGAACAGGTTGCTCAGAGAGCCTGTGCAGTTTCCATCCTCGGAGATTTTCAAGACCTGACCAGATAAAAACCCTGAACAACCAGATCTGGCCTCAAAGCTGACCCTGCTTTGAGCAGGAGATTGGACTAGAGACCTCCTGAGATATCTTCCAACCTGAATTATCCTAAGATCCTGTAGAAAATACCATTTTCAAACAAACTTGGGTACATAGTGGCTTTATCATTTTCGTGAACCCTAGATAAGAATTTATTCTTAGTTACACAGAAGAATGTCATGTGTTAACGATGTATTGCCAGCCTACCTGTTGCAGACTTTTCAGCTTGGATTGTCTTAGTTTTTCATATTTCCATTTCCAAAGAGATAAATCATTTTCCATCTTTTCTACCTCTTTTTCCAGAAACACATTCATTCTGAAAAAAATATTTTAACAATTAGCATCTTCTTGCAGATAACAACAAATAAATTATTTTTAATTTCCTTTTCATATCTTCAATTCTGTTTTGTTGCTTTTGTCATCTGTATATTTTTTAACTAAAAGCCTACATGATATAATCATCCCAAGATATTTACCAAAAATAAAAATAAAGAGAACAAAGAAATCTAGTAGCATAGAATAAGCCTAAAATGTGGGGCTAAAATGAAGAAAATTTCAAAATGGACTTCAGTCAGTTACTGATTTAGGTAGCCTACATGGAGGGAACAGCAGAGATTCTCAGAGAAAAAGCACCGTATCACTTTTATCTGGGCACATGCAAAGGATTATTCTGATCATACACATATGAGAAACTATACACAGTATATAGACAGTACGGAACAGAAATCAAGTAAGATCTACTGTAGAAGCGAGAAAAATGTTAAATGTGTGTATATTCCCTTACCATTTCAAAAATAATTACTTCTCAAAAAAAAATGCTAGAAATGTTTTAGAAAAGTGGACTATTAAGCATAGAAGTACTACCTCTTCACTGAAGTGACAACTTCAGGTGTTTGTCTCTGGAATGTCATAGCAACAGAAAGTCCACTACTACATTCAGGAATGTATTTAGGGTATAGAATTCATGAAGAATGAGCCATGATTCCTTAAGGAGAGGAACTGTATTACTGAAACAATGAACTTGGATTGTGACTTTTGCCTCTCTTCAAAACAATGAAAACATTTTCAGCCATTCGAGAAAGAATGAAAGAAATACCAAGCAAAGGAGGCACAATGAATGTTCTTGTCTTTGAGACCAATTAAAAAATCATTTCTGTGTTCACAGCAGACAATATCAGACAAATTCCAAAGGTGAGAATGAACTTCTCATAATTTATGCTCCTAATGTCATGATTTCATTTCCTATTTGTTTAATGGGTATGCACCATTTTGCAATCAAGTAGCAAAACAGAACTGTAACCATAATTATAAATTATATATAAATTATATA